AGAAATGTTCTGTTTTCCTCTCTAAGATCATTTGACTGACACTTTTCCACACAGCCATCTTGTGAAACTCCACTTCCTTGACATCATGGTTAATTCTGCGAATTTCAAGAAAAAGCAAAATCTTTAACCAGGAAGTATAATATGTTCATTTCCTAGGTAAATAACTTAGGCATAGAACAAGGGCTTCTATGTCATCTTGCTAATGAATAACAGAAGCAATACAGGATTCTAGGTCTGTCTGACTCTAAAGCTCTTGCCTTTAATTATGAGGTCATTTTGCCTCCAAACACTGTGTTTATTTTTCTTGACATAAGTATGGACATTTCCCCCAAACAAACCCCACATACATTTAAACAAAGCTATTTAAAAATGAACATAGAAAGTGCAATGGACTCAGATTTGGCTTGATGATCCACTATGGAATTGAATTCTCAGACTTGCAGAATACTCACCAACTGAATTCACAGGTTAACCACAGTGAAAGGTAAACTGCCCTATGTTAATGATGGTCAAGAATTCATAGCTTTCCAAGAGAGGAAAATTCCAGGACAAAATAAGACAGATTCAGTGGTATTTTTAACCACTATAAAGCATTATAGGGACCAGCTAAATGGCTCACTGGATAAAAGCACTGATGGCTGAAGTTTAATCCCAAGAAAGCACCTGGCAAAGAAAGAACAAATTCCCACAAGATTGCCTCAGACCTCCATGCTCCTTCCACTTCCCCCATACACACACACACAAATAAATCAATGTTAAAAATATATCATAGGACTTCAAAGAAGAACAGGAAATCTACAATTGATTACAATTCAGTAGCTACTACAAGCTTTTCCTTTTAGGTTCCAAAGGTGGCTCCCACCTCATTATGAATAGGACACCAAAAAGGCCAACAACAATAATAATGGACATCAATATCTGTATCTTTTTAAAATAGTGGCAAGCCATGCTGAAAAATGCTAAGTTCCATATCAGGTCAACTTTCAGAAGTCTGTATTTAGAGTTTCTTCTCTTTGCAGAAAGAACTGTCTTGTAAAGGAAAGAAATAAAGGTGGTCCAATTTAACTAAATAGAAAGCCAACCCCGAAAAATACCTTAGTCTCCATCCTTATGTATTTCCTAGCTCCCTTGACTTATTCTGTTATTTAGGGAGGGCAACTTTAACGTAGAGGTGACCATTAAGCCAATACCATTTAGATGATTGGCAATTTTCAGTCAGTGTCATACCTGAGCCATGTCCAAACCTCAACTGAAATTTTCATCATCAAACCCCTATTGCCTCAATTTTGTACCCATTGGATCCTACTAATATCACCATTCTCACTGTGAGATGATTGATACAGGTGACCCAGTGACATAAGTGCTCAGTAGGGCACAGCATCTTGGGAACTGTCTCAGTCTTATTATAGCTAGTGCAAATGACTATTTTTAGGTTTAAGATTAGAGATTCCAGGAAAAAAATAGAGAAATACTAGAGTAGAGTATCTGTGATCAGGCTGACATTATGGTTGATGGGGAAATATTTCTTAAACCAAAGGGGCACATGGTCCTGTACAAAGAGAATGTGAAACATTCTTCCTTCGCTATTACTTGTCAGAAATGCCTATAGATTCTGAAGATCTGAAGTGGGAAACACCACAATTATACTAACCATAGGAACAAGAAAATCCAAGAACCTCTGGACCTTATTCCCCCCCTCACCAGTTTCCCCATATGAAAGTGGCCACTCTACCTTTCTGCCCTAAAATGTCCCACAGACAGTGCTCATAACATCTACTACACATTAAACAAATCAGACATTACCATTTGCTTCTTTCAGATGACCACATAATAGTCCTCTGAACTGTGCTCAGATACTTGTTTGCTATTTTTACTGGTCACAGTGTCTGGAAGGTTATAGGCTTCAAAAATGTAGAAAAAGTAAAGAAAAAATACTCAAAAGTCTCCACAGAGGAATCAGTTTCAGTGAGGGAAAAACAATGTCATTGGAAAGCTCTATTATATTCACTAACAGTGAAGTCCCATCATTTTTCCACTCCAATGATTCATTCTGAACATGGTGTCAGGAACAATACAGGGGCAAAAAACAATTAGTGGGGGAACAAAACAATCAGCTGAACCGTCTGGGACTTGAGCAATGTATAGATCAAATGTCTTAAATTTGCTAAGCTGCCTCTCATTTGGCCAAAATGGATGGCTCTTGGCTGCACTATACCAAGAATAATTGTCCCTCATATATCCCCAATCAGCTGCCTTTTAATGACGAGTCAAAAGTGACAATGTAAAAGATGCAGTGACTTTCATTGTACTTGGCCAATTTTGGACCATCTCCCACTGATTTGCCCTTGGAATAGGTGAGCTCATAAACACCTTGCACAGCTGGGTACAGTCACTGCTTCCTGCCTCTACACCACAAGACTGTGAGTTACAAGAGGAAGAAGTGAGAAGTCTGAGGCAGCCTTATGTTCTGACACTGCTCTTATAGACGGTGTAACAGCCCCAACACCTTGGCTTACATCAAATCAGTTTCTTACATCCCAGAGGTCAAATGACCTTTCTATCTCTCCAAACCAGCACCAGGGTAGGCTACCCTACAAAGACATTTGGAAAGAGTCCAGGCACTTGACAGACTTAGCAACCCCATGTGGCCTATTTTATTCCAGATGGCTGCCTCCTCTTCTTAGCTCATATTATGGTTGTTGCTGCTTTGAAAATGCAGTGGATTAGAATTTAAATTTAAATTCCAAATCTACAAGAAAGCTCTCTTTTTCTCCTTCACCCTGATATCCTGTGTCTTGTTTTGGTGTGGCTGTAGGGAAGACTTTCAGTTCTTTTGAAAAATTGGCTTCTGAAATGTGAAGAGCCTTTAGTATGTGTTAGTGATTGATTTATAATTGGTTATTTGTATCAGCATCATCAAAGGAAAGGTACAGAGAATCAGGAGGACTTAGGAAGGCTTGTTATTCTCTTGATGTATTGCTGTGGAGCTCAGGAGAAGCCCTCTCTGAAAGCAACTACTTAATACCACTCCAATCCCACCCAGTGTCTCTCCCATCATCACCGTTTCAATCCCAGGACCTTGATTTCGTATTATCCTCAGCAATGAAGCCACTCAGACATGTCTTTCAGTCATTCTGTATCTCTCCATATCTTCCTCCTCGGACCTCTAACAGAATATACATTGATGTCTTCTGCTTCTTTTGTAACAGCTTGCACTCTTTAATCAAATGAATGATAAACTCCCCTAGAATAGGAAGCATCTCTATTACAGATTCTAGATCCTAGCCTCAAAACTGTAGAACTGAGGTCCTCAGAGTAATTCAAGCATTGGGTAAAGTGACCATTTATTGGAAGGGGGTGATTACAATCCATAGCCACCATGATTTTGCGTGCCTCTCTAGAAAATAGAGGAAGCTGCCACCTGGACACGGCTTTCAAACAAGAATCTCCTTGTCTTGCTGATATTACTTTTGTTAACTTCCATATCTTCTTCTTCTTTTCTTAAACTGTCCATTCCATCACCACAAATGTTTACTCTTTCTTTGGGAAAACACTTAAATATACTTTTAGCAATTTGAAATATCATTGCATTATTAACTGTAGACACGGTGCTTTGCTCTGTGACCAGCATTAATTCTTTCTAACCAACTTGTACCTAGTGATCAGTGTGACCCCTTTTCAGTTCCTCCCTCCACTGGCCTTTGGTATCCACCATTCTACTCTGTACTTAATGCATAAGTGTAACTTCTTAAGATTTTTCATATAAATGAGATCATGTAGATTTCTCTCCATGCCTAGCTTAGTTGAATATAACATCATCTAGGTTTGTCCACCATGCCACAAATGACAGAATGTCCTATTTGTTTTGTTTATTTGTTTAAAGATGATAGTATTCCATTCCATTTTAAAAGCATGTCTTTTTGAGATTTTTTTAATTTAAATTCTTTAATTACTACTCATATTTACATATCCATCCCATCTTCTTCTTCTTTGCACAAACTGTGAGCTGAGTGCAAATGGAAAATGTTCATGTTGTGCATGGAGAGGAAATCCATGGCACTCTGCCTGTTTGGCTGGGTCAGCTTTCACCTCTGCACCATTCCATTAAAACTTTGTTTAGAAGACAAAAAGCAACCAACATATTTCCACCTTGGTCCTGGTCTCACATCTGCCCTCTACTTTAAATCATGCTCTGTCCTACCACCTTTTTGCCAAACTAGTGCCCACTGGTGTCCAAATTGACTCTTTCATCCTGTTTCTTTGCAGAAATACTGTGTGAAACCCTGCAGTATGCTGAGTCTCTTTGCTCCTCTGCACCTTCCCTTTGATGACATTGATGCTAACCACTAACTACAGAGCAATCACTAACAGGTACTAAATGCTCTCCACATTTCTGGAACCCATTAACTCAATCATCATCATCTGATGAAGTAGGTTCCTGGTTGTCTACCTTTTAAAACTGAGTAATTCAAGCATCAGAGATATTGCTTTGGTGAAGCTCATATGAGAATGTGAGGGCCCAAATTCTCACCCTAACTGGCTCCAGAGATCATGTTCATAACCAGGTCATTGTCATCCTCTTATAAACCTCAACATGTTTGTAAGTAGTTATTTAATCTTAACAGACAGGCAGCTCAATGAAGACGGAGATAGACACATTTTGTTCAATATTCTGCTTTTGGAGACCAACCCAGGGGTCAATCTGCAGGAACCACCAAGAAAGCATAAATTCAAAGACTAAAGGAAAAAAAAAAAACAGTTGGTTACTTCTAGAACTTTCACTATCCATAAAAGATATTTAAAGTGCACTGTGACCACGGGGATATTTGTTATAAAGCCACCTTTCCTACCATCGTACTGAGAAACATATTTAACCATTCACCACTAGAAAGGATGAGATCCGGAAACCACAGGACCCAACACTGTTGTTGGGAAGCAGAAAATCACAGGGTGAGCAAAGACCATGTAACGTTCCACTCAGACCGGGAAATGCCACTCACCTCTCTCACAGGTTCTTCCCCAGTAGCCAGTGCCTGTGCAGTCACAGATGAAGCGGTTCCAGCCGTCCTTGCACACAGCATTGTTCTTGCAGGGGTAGCTGTCACACTGCTTGGCGCTCATGCGTGAACAGGAGGACTTGACGCCTGCTGCGTTCTGCATCTCCGCCAGCTGCCGGATGTTCTTGCTGCGCCCATCAATGAACAGGTCACGGATGCAGCCCACATAGCCATAGTTGAGCATGGCAGTCCAGAGTTCCGTGGGGAGAATGAGGCCAGCTCGGTTCTCTGGCAGCCCGCCCAGATACATGTCTCCTTCCAGGTCCAAGATTTCACTCTCACCACTGGCAGTGAATGGCGTGCGCCTGCTGTTCACAGATATGGTACCTGGAGTAGGAGACAGGTGCAAAAGTGAGTGAAGGGCCTTCTTGCCTGTTGGTGAGCTTCTGGAACTGCTTAAAGGAAAGCAGCTCCGCAGGTAAGTGGGAAGACCAGCATCACCTTGTGGGAGCATCACTGCAATTGGAAATATGGCTGCAAACTGGTGGGAAGCACCATTTTGTTCCAGTCCCTAAAGCTAGGATAACCTGGACCATAGGAGGACTCAGGAAGAAACCGGGTAACTAACTCCAGTATGTCTCTTCCCTCTATAAGCATATTCACTGAGATAAGTTACACAATAGGCCAAGAGAAGTTTAAATCCCAGATCTGCCAGCTGCCAGCTTTACAACCTTGAAGAAGAGACTCCACCTTTCATTTCCAAAAAGAAAAAAATAATTATCCTCAACTAACAGGCTGCTGTGATGATCGAAGAAATCCATATGTACAGAGCGCTTACAGCAAAGTCCAGAACAGAATGGACGTTGTAATCCCCATATCTTCAGGGTTCATGATTTCCCAAAGGATTGGGCGTTCTCTTTTGTCTCTCTATCCATGAATACCCTATAGACTGGGCATTAGCTGCCCACTCTGTCAACCAAAATTTTGGGCATTGTTTTTAACTGTGTTTTTGTTTTTGTTATTTTTGGTTTGTTTTATTTTTAGCCAGAGACTCACTATGTAGCCCTACTTGGCCTGGTACTTGCTATGAAAACTAAACTGAGCCTGAACTTACAGCCATTTTCCTGTTTCTGCTTCCTGAGTGCTAGAATTAACAAGTGTGAGCCTGACAACTGGATAGAATGTGTTTCTTCATGCATTATTAAAGGCATAGTGAACACTTTTCTCTCTCTGGTCATAGTTTCAGGCCCAGTGCTAGGCTTTTAGTCCTCCTCCTACTGGGCTGATTTCACGGAGCATAGAGGCATAAAATCAACAGATAATCTAAGAATATCAGCTAATAGCAGATGTTATAAAAATAGCCAAATGCAATGTCATGAGATTAGCTTATAGGATTTGCTTTAAAGTGTACAGTCAGTGGAGGAATGCCATATGAAGAACAGTAAAGCCAGAGAGTTGAAAAAGTTCTAGCTAATGCAAAATTCAAGGGAAAGAACATGACTGCCAGAGAGAGCAGCACTTACAAAAGTGTCTATGGATCATACCTGACAACCTGAGTCTGATCCCTGAAATCCAGGAAAAGATAGAAGGAAAGAATAAACTCCACAAAATTATCCTCCAATATCCATATGCACTACATAGTATACCTGCACACACCGTTATTGTTATTATTATTATTATTATTATTATTATTATTATTATTACTATTTTAAAACAGTGATGACATGAAGTAGTTTGTTCACAATCAAAGAGGCAAGAAGTAGTGAGAAAAAGATGAGATCATGGCAGATGGTGGCCTTTAATCCCAGAACTTCGGAGGCAGAGGCAGGCAGATCTCTGTGAGTTTGAGGCCAGCCTGGTCTACAGAGAAAGTTCCAGAATAGCCAGGGCTACACAGAGAAACTCTGCCTTGAAAAACCTAAAGGAAAAAAGAGACCAGAGACAGGGGTTAAATCCTGGGAGGGGCCAGATAATGGGTTCTGTTAAATGAGATTCTAGAAGCTGCAACCTAGTGCCTGACCTGGGAAAATGAAAGAACTACTTGGGCTTTTCCACCCTGTGCCAGTCCCTCAGCACCTTACAGCTCTGTTTCCTGAACTGTAAAATTAGGGGATGAACAAGACAGTATTTGAGCATCCTGCCAGATTTAGTTTTTTAGTATTTTTCTTGAAATGTTTTGTAGGTGTTGAGAGAAGCAGGCTGTGGCATCCATTAACCAGCCTCTGCTCTGGCTCTCTGTCTGGGCCTCAGTTCCCTCAGCTGGTAAGCATTACAACCTAAGGGCTGAAGCAGATCGGAAGAGATCGAAGATGTAGTGTGTGCTCCAAATTACGACAGGAGAATGGAGTGGAAAGAACATAAAGGGCCCTGGTGTGGAGCTGGAGCAGATTGAGTCAGCAATCCTCCCTTCACTCTATTTATAAGTTGTCTCCTGGAGAAATATGCTTTGCCTACTTAATTCTTAGTATTTCAAAACCCACACAACAAAAACTAATATCCCGGAGAGCATTTTAATCATTTTATGTACTTTAAATTTATTTTATATGTATAAGTGTTTTGAATTCACCTATATATGTGCACCACATGCATGCCTAGGGCCTGCATAGGTCAGAAGAGAGCATCAGAGCCCTTGGACCCACCACTCAAACCTGGGTCCTCAGCAAAAGCAGAAAATGCCATTAACCCTGCTGAGCCATCTGTCCTACCCCTCATTCTATGTATTTCAAAACACTGATGGACTGACTTCGTGTGTTGTGCTCAGATCTAGAGATTCACACACGAAGCATTTCACTCTGCTACGGAACCATGCTGCCATTTATGTGCGTTTCTTTAGACTCCTCCCCCAAAACAATTTTGTCATGTGGGAGTCATGAAAATTCCGATGTGGGCAGGGGAGGAGCTTTCAAGACTCATCCCCTGACTGAGGAGCTACTGCAGTGAAGGGCTGCTGAAGGGTGGAGAATCCTGTTTTCTTTACGGATGTGGCTGATGATAGGTTTCCCAACGTGGGTGGTCCCAGACCCATGCTCACATGATCAGCACTAATTTGACTAGGGGACTATTAAATAATTAATGATAATCATAATAATTAGTAACAGAATAAAAAGAGTTATCAGGGAGATAGATTAGTGGGCCATAGGGAAGCTGGAGAGAGATAGTAAGGGCATGCATAAAATTAAGATGAATTTTATGCAAGATTAAATATTCAAAGAATAAATAAAATTGTTATTTCAAACAAGGAAGAAGTTGAGATTTGTGTCTCCTAATATCTTCTCTTACACAACTTTCTTTAACTCTTCATATGGGCTAATGTGATCAATTAGTGGGGTAATGGGTTTAAATGGGAAACATCCATATAAACTCATGAGTTTAATCACTTGGTCCTCAACTGATTCTCTGGTTGGAAAGTTGTGGAACCTTTAGGAAGCATATCCTCTCTGGAAGAAGAGGGTGGTCACTGGGGACAGGCCTTGAGACTTGAAGGCCTGGTCCAAATGCCTGTTCACTCTGTTTTCTGAATGTAGACAACCATGTGAAAGGCCACCATGTTCCTGCCACCATGTCTACTTTGGCTAATGCATGTCTTCCCTGCCACGATTGACTGTATCCCTCTGGGGCAGTAAATAAGAAAAATTCCTTTCTCCTTGAAGTTGCTTTAGGCAGGGTGTTTTATAATAGCAACAGAAAAGTAACTGAGACAAGAGACATGTAGATTGCCAAGTATGGACAGTATGAGAATCAATCAGAAATTTGGAGCTTGGACTATAGACCATAGAAAGCCTATGCTCGTGATATCTGGCTGAACACATTTTAATTGCATTTACTGGGCTCTAAGAATCACTGGCCCCACTGAGGGGTGATCATAAAATATTTTATGGATCATCTTTCAGGCCAGTTCTTCTTCTGAATGCTTGAGGAAAAAGGCACATTTGTACATGCTTATTTAGCAAATATCTATTTTAGAAGAAATGGATAGCTAATTGAAAAAATACTAGAAAAATGTCTTCACAAAGAAATGAAGTTTTGTAGATCATATTGAAAGGTAATATTACATTGCTTTCCTGAACTAATTATTGTTTACTTAGTAAATTGTATAGGCCTTATCAATCATCAGTACTTCAAGACTGACCAATGATGTAGCTTACACATAAGAAATTTAAGGCTCCTGAAATTCAAATTTATTTTCAGATAAATCCCCTGGTAGTTCTAAAAATACAAACCAAGACATCTATACTACCAAACGGGATAATTTTATGTCAACTTGACACAAACTAGAGTCATCTCAGAGGAGGAAACCTCAATTAAGAAAACCCTTCCATAAGATCAAGCTGTAAGCAAGCCTGCACAGCACTGATGGGAGAAGGTCCAGCCTGTTGGGGGTGGTGACTTCCCTGAGCATTTGGTCCTGAGTTCTTCTATAAGAAATCAGGCTGAACACACCATGAGGAATGCTAGTAAACAGCACACCTCCATGGCCTCTGCCACAGCTTCTGCCTCCAGGTTCATGCCCTGTTTGAGTTTCTGCCCTCACTGAAATGGAATTGTGAGTAAAATAAACCCTTTCCTCCCGAAGTTGTCACTGCCATGATATTTCATCACAGCAATAGAAAGCACAACTAGCTGGGCGTTGGTGGCACATGCCTTTAATCCAGCACTCGGGAGGCAGAGGCAGGCGGATCTCTGTGGGTTCAAGGCCAGCCTGGTCCCCAGATCGAGTGCCAGGATAGGCTCCAAAGCTACACAGAGAAACCCTGTCTCGAAAAACAAAACAACCAAAAAAAAAAATAAAACAAAAAAAAGCACAACTAGAAAAGGCAATTTGTGTTGGGAATAACCAAAAAGTAAATACAAGGAGTCTTTCTCTATAGTAGCTTTCTTGGAACACTAGTGGGTCATGGTTAAGTCATAGCAAGGTCATAGTTAAACACACATAAAACTCTTCAACCATAACACACACATTGTCTTAATCACAAGCAGTGTTTTATAGACAACTCTGAGACAGTGTTCTAGTACTGCCCCAGATGGCTTTTTATTGTTAAACTTAAGACAGAAATTTAGCCACTAGAGAAATTTTTTTTGTGTTTTTCTTTTTTAAAAAAATCACTAACTGTTCATTCTTGTTTAACAAGCACATTTAATTTGAAGCCTCTTAGTCCTGACCAGATTTTAGACAATCAATAGAGAAACTACTGGGCAGTAAAACATCCAAGGCCACAATCTGCCACTGACTGCATTCTGCATAGACCCCATCCAGATCTTCCTGAGGGCAGCATCACTCGTCCCTGCCACCCCCCTAGCTGGAGAAATTACACAGAAAAGCTGGCATTCCATGGAAGCGTGACCATTTCTGGGTTTGGGGGTGGGTGGGACCTCTTGCTTTGTAATATTAGTCAAGGGAAACTAGACATAAAAACTCCCAGATCAAGACTTTTGTGTGTTCACAGAAGTAATCCATACAACTACAGCAAATGAAACTAAAACCGGTCTTGTGTATGAGCTACCCAGATGAGGAACCAGGAAATGAGCCTGAAATCCAGATGCTATACTAGTCCTCTTGGGGGAACACCCTTACTAATAACATAGAATATGACCATCATTGCCAGAGGGTCCTTAGAAAGCCAGGCAGACTGTTCAGGCATTCAAAAGCGCAGATTTTCTATTGCTGCCTACCCCCAACCCTCTTTTTGTTAGTCTTCCAGAGTAGATATGTATTGCCTGGGGCTAGTTTGTTTGATCTGCAGCTACAGAAACAAACAAAGCCATTTAAACCAAATTGTAAAAGGTTATGAAGAGGAATGGGGAGTTAGTGAGATCTGAGCAGAAGAGAGAAATACGAGCTCTCACACCAAAGGAAAGCTTTAAATTGAACATGACTTCAGGAAAAATCAATTTGCTGTTTCCTTTCTTGTCATAATTCCTCCCTGCAACATGACTGCTGCCAATTATTGAAGGGCTATCATTGCATAAACTCTTGCAATGGAGCTTATCCCATAGAGTAATCACATAATGTAAGGTCTGTGATGTCACAGTCAGTTTCCATGGTGATAAGAGAGAGGGGAAGAAAGGGTGGAGGTATGCCATGCCATGACAGTCCCTGGGGTAGGAACAGAAAGGCTACTTATAAAATCACTCATGGTGCTACAGTCTTAGAACTATCATTAAAACCATCGGGCAGAATGATAGAAGAGCTAACAATGCTAGCAATCCATAAGACAGGCATCTCATCCAAAAATACCAATTTATAACAGCCATTAGAGAGAATAGTTGGGGGACAGCTGAGCATGCAAGTGATTATTAGAGCAAACACATAAAGTCTGTTTTCATCTAGTCTCAGTCCTAAGCCTTCTTTACCTGATCTGCCATCACGCTGAATGTCCACGTGGTACCATTCCCCATCATTGGCTTTCTTCTGAGTGGCCTTCACTTTGATGGTACCTGAGCCCATGTCAAGCAACAAATACAGGTTGCCATCGAGAAGTTCCACAGCAAAGAAGTCAACTTTTGTGTTCTTTTGGCTCCGGACATCTTTTCTTTCTTGGGGCTTCCCATGAGTGAAGAGAATCAGGCCATTGGGCTCAGTGGTGCGAAAGTCAAAGGAGATGGAGCCCATGCGTTTGGTGTTCCACTTGGGCAAGCTGATGTAAGCCTCTGGGGTCTCAAAGTTGATGGGGTCCAATGTGGCCACATTTTCACATTTGAACACAACTTCACCGTAGATTTTCATCTTGGTGTCCCCAATCCGAGCCAAGCGAGACAGCTCTAGACGGATGTCATTATTCTTATAAACAACCTGTCAAAAGCCAAACAAAAGTGCCGTATGAATCAATCTTGCAAACAGTATCAATCCATCATTCATTGGACATCCAGGAAAAGGGTCTGAATCGTCTTCAGGACATAATGGTCCTGAAACAACATGTGAAACAAAAGACTTATCAAAAAAAAAAAAAATCACCCCAAGAGATGTCTGGGGCATCTACAAGATCAGAATAAGTTTCTACATTGCCACTGTGTACCTTTTGTCTTTCTCCTTGTAGCCAGTTTCTGGATGTCATAAAATTATGAGTATGAATTTATGAACAAAATTCAAGAGACATGACTTGTACAAGTGCAAAATACAAATATATTTACTAAAGTATCCTTGGTAAAAGGCCAGAGACAACCTCAATGACTATCAATAATAGATGGCACACCTCTATAATGGAAGACAACACCACTTTTTAAAATTAAGTATTGCCTCTGGTTTTTACATGAGTCATTGTGTTAAGTGGAGTCAGAATCAGGATGAAGTGATAATTACCTTACCATTGTATGAAAACGGAGAGTCATAAAAACATGGGTTTATAGAAGTATAAAGAATGTTTGGAATATTCAGGACTGCGAGACTTACATTTCCACAATAGCCTCATGTTTTGTTTGTTTATTTAAAACTATGTGGAAATGCTTCCTTTACGGATGGTTGATTGACAGGGCCTGAAGAGACTGCTTACTGGGGAAAGTGCTTGCCATACAAGTGTAAGGACCTAACTTTGAATCTTAGATCCCACTTAAAGCTGGATGTGATTATGTATGTCTGTGATCCCAAGGCTTGTCACGGAGTCACAGCTTAGGTGGAAGTTGAAGACCAATGTCTAAGGCTGTCCTCTCACCTCCACACACATGCTGTGGCATGAGCATGTCTTATTCATACATTTACACACATCACAAACACACACGAAAGGCTTTTTTTTTTAATGATTGAGAGCTATGAGTGTTGGTTAGGAGGAAAGTTGTGGGGCTTTATTTTTATAATCACATTGAATATGCCCTTGATACAGAGGCAAAGGGAAGATACCCCAATTTAGTAAGTTGGGGACATTTACTTATATGAGAATTGACATTTTAAATAAGTTAGTTTATACCAGAGATTAATTTGGTAGATCAGAGTACATATAAGAGATACTTCAGGGATTTCTGTCTCTGTGTTCTCCCCAAGGTACAGTCCACTTCCACATGGCCATGGCCACAGTGTCAAACATAGTGGATGAATAAGAGCAGAAAGTGAGAATGTCAACTAAAAATGAAAAAGTCTATTATGACTTTCCAAACTTGGACTCATCCATAATAACCCAGAGATTAATATAGATTTCCCAAGAATATTTAAAATGGTTTACTCTTTTTACTCTTATTAGCATTTATCTCTTTAGCTTTATATGAACTCCACCCTGGGTTGTGGTGTGTGTGTGTGTGTGTGTGTGTGTGTGTGTGTGTGTGTGTGTGTGTGTGTGTATGTGTATGTGTGTGTGTGTGTGTTGAGCACTTGTGTATAAGTACAAGTATGTATGTGTCACCACATGTATATGGAGTTCAGAAGACAATCACAGGCATTGGTGACCTTCTTTGAAACAAAGCCTGCTCTTTGCTGCTGTTTATCTGGTCTGTGGATTTCCAGAGATTACTCTGTCTGTGTATCACACAAAAGTATATGGAGATTACATATGTACACCACTGTTTTCATGTTTGTGTGGGTTCAGGGGAGTCTGAGCTCAGGTCCTCAAACTTGCTTAGCAAGGATTTTATCTGCTGAGTCTTCTCTCTAGCTCCAAAACTGATTTTTTTCTTCTGTGTAGCATTCCTGGATTATCTTCAGTGGTCCAATTTTTGAATGACATCACATCCATAAAATAATACTAATCATGGCAAATGGAAGGGGAAAGATGGAGAAGGTCTGTAAATTTGGCAAATTTCCATTTGTTTCCTGTTTACCAATGGGAGTTGAAAAGAAAACTGATTTGAGAGGAAGAAAGACTTAAGACATGTTAAGCACTTAGAGGTGGCACGCAGGAAGTGTACAAAGGTCTCAGCTAGTTCGGGGGGATGGTTGTGGAAATTACTGTTAACCTTATATCATCTTCTGCCCACTCCTGTCTAATTTACACTTTCAGTAAAGCAACAACGCTTTGGAGCCAAAATCAGCCTTACCATCCATTCTATTTCGGTGAGAAAACATTAATTGTGTGGGTCATTTTTATACATATCATTTGTTCTGTAATAATCCAGCTACAGACTGTTTCTCTCCTCTAACATGTCACTGGGCAATAATCAAGCAGAGCTGTTGATTTAAACAAATATAGCCAGTATGGTCTGCAACCATGACAAAGCATTAGAACTCTTCATCTAGTATGTAACCTTGATAGTGGATCTAACTGTAGTCAACACCACTGAGAATAGTAAAGATGTTTAACACTTACCAAATACCTAATACCAGGCTCTACAGTAAAGGATTATCATCTACCAATCAGACACTACCCATTTGGCAAACCTCAAGTCATTCCTTCATTTTATAGACACAAAAAGTAGCTAAGGAACCAGCTTAGAGGCATAATGCTGCTACATGTAGGGCAGAACTCAAATTCAAACATTTATTCCAGAGGCCATGGACAGCACTGCCCACATATGTCCTAGTACTGCCACCCTCACCCAGGAAGCTTCTTATTGATGTTGTAGAAAGTTATATATGATCAGCTTCCCAGTTCAAAAGCTGAATTTCTTATTTTCGTTCCACTGGACTGGCCATGCAGGACCCTCAAGCACCTGCCTCAAACAAACACATCATAAAAGAAACAATCAGAGTTTGATTGGCAGTGTCTCCTTTCTTATCCCCACTATGATGCTCTAGCATGTGTGGTCTCTGTATGGGAACCAAGATCTGCCTTGCCCTGTATCCAAATGAAACACCTTTGACTTTTCTTCTTGTAAAAGCTATTAGTGGGCAGTTATAACTCATCCAAAAGAGAAAGAAGAGGCTTGGCCCCATGAACAATAAATAGAAAGCTCAAGAAGCTGTCCTCCCGGGGATCTAAGACAGAAAGTGAAAAGTCAAAGGTCTTTTAAATGAATATGAAGACCAACTCCTCCATGGGAAGGGTACATTGCTGAACCTGGGACTGACAATGATAAGCAGAAGGCAGATTTTTAAAGAAATGATAAGGAAAATCAGGGGCAGAATGTGGTTGGTGACTTCTTTCAAAGCCTCTTGGTAGGCAAGCACTCCATCATAACCCCAAAATTGATTGATTGTGTATGTAGCATTTCTTCAACGCTGTCAAAAAAAAAAAAACTTTCCTTTGTCGACAATTAAATACCCTTTCTGAATCTCAATTTTATTCATATCCTCTACCTCTTGATTGCAGCAATGTTGGAACTCTACTGGAAACAAATGGCTCCAAATGGAGATTCTGTAGAATAGCTACTACCAAGAAGAAAGGGACAGAAGGGAAATTGTCTTGCAGCCCTGAACACTCAACTGCTCTCATCATAACTTCCCCTCCTACATATATTCTAAGCAGAACCATGACACAGCTTGGCAGGAAAATACTGATGCCTTGGGTGTGTGCACTAGGGCATGAAACAGGAAGCCCAGCCAGACCTTTGCCCAAGGTGAATTAACACTGGTACAGTGTTCTCTGGAAAATCTGGCTCTCATTTAAGCAAGTGTCCCCTACCAATGGACTGAACTCAAAAAGTGGCATCAAGAGACAGAAAGCAGCCTTGGTTGACAAGCTGCCCTGGCAAGAAGCAATTAAAAACAAAGTAGAAATGGTGCCCCATGGGGGAAGATGTCACACAGCCTGAGAGGCAAAGTATAAGAATGACAAGTTGATCTCAACTGTACCACCCATGGATTTCTAAAGACTACTGTTTGGACTTATAACTCATGTTGAGGAGACCAGCTAAGGAAAGAACTAAGAACAAAGGCTTGGGGTTAAGACAAAATCTCTTTGAACAAATATATGTATTTCCTTCTATGACCATTATACAGAAGCACACAGACAAACTCTGGGTGTGAGAGCAATATAATAAAAGTAGTTACCAGCTATGGAGAGCCTACAATGTGCCACTCTCTTTGAAAAACACTGGTATACACTGCTATATATCATCTACAATATATAGCCAAAAACATTGATATTAGTCCCATCTCACTGACAGATACTGAGGAAGATAAATACAAGACCAGGTCACATAGCCAAGAAAGCACATAGCCAGGACTTGACCCTCTAACTCTATTCTTGCACCGGGGCAAGGGTATGCTCCAGGAATGGTCAATTTTAGACTCTTTACTAGGCCAAAAATACACAAAAAGCAGAAATCCTTCAGTAGTATATAACTTTTGTATTGACACCCGAAGTTCCTTGAACCTACCAGGATCCCTCTCAAGCAAGCCTCTCAGGGTCACCTTGGAAACTTCTATATGGATCATGTATTAGTAAGACTCTAGTTTTTCTCCTCTGGTCTCTTGCACTGCAGTTTTCTCTCTCTTCTCCAAGGTGTGGAAACATCACCCCTTTCCCGGGACCTCCATCCGAAGTTAACACACCCCTTTCTACCTATGCCAATCTCACCATTTGTCAAATCAAAACCCTTATGTTGCCCATAAGTGATGAAGCTTTTTGCCCTACTGCATCATATTTCTACCTGTACAAGCTGAACTTTAAAATTAAACTCTTTCATAATTACTGAGTTGTAAGGCAGATATTTAAGAATTAACCAAAGGTTTTCCCTCATAGAAGTATTTTCCTCTCCCCTTCCACTTCATCGTTGGCCACACTTAATTTCCTGTGAACAGATTTACATATAGTATGTTGCAAATTCTGCACCCCCAATCATGTAACAAGAAAACTTGAAGGAAGGGAGTAATGCATGACCAGATGGCACTAGGAACTATTTATACTGTCAAATACTAGGGGTTCTAATACTTGGCCTTTCTTTGATCTTGAATGTCAAGCATCTTCAGTCATGTGTGGGTACACATAT